AAGGCCACCAAATTCATCAGGCACGATTTACCCGTAGCCAACATGTTGGCTGTCACCAGTCTCCTCCTTATTTTCCATGTGCCTTAGCATACTTTCCAGGAGGATCTGCTCCATGATCTTACCAGGCACAGAGGTGAGACTGACCGGCCTGTAGTTCCCTGGGTGTTCTTTATTTCCTTTTTTAAAAATGGGGGTTATGTTTCCCCTTTTCCAGTCAGCAGGCAATTCACCTGACTGCCACGACTCTTCCATCAAATATGATGGATAGTGGCTTCGCAACTTCATCTGCCAGTCTCCTCAGGACCTGTGGATACACCTCATCAGTTCCCATGGACGTGTGCACCTTCAGGTGCCTTAGGTGGTCTCAAACCTGATCTTCTCCCACGGCGTGCTTAAAAATGTTTAGGTGCTTTTTGTTTATACTTTCCTACCCGCCATTCTGTAATTCCTTGCTAGGACTTTTCTCCTTTTCCTAAGTGTCATTTAAAGTTCACATACAGAGTGTGTTCTCTGTCAGTTAAGTTTCATTTTCAGAGAACAAATCACTGTATCCCTGCATGAGAGTTCTTCCCCAAAGAAAAGCCAGGATGCATTTTGGTTCCAAGGATCAACAGAAATTTATGTCAGCTTCATGAAAACATAACACAAAAGACTCATCTTGCCATGTTGACATTAACTTATAAAACAAAGATACAACAGAAAAATTGTGGGAACGCTGTACAAATAAAAATCAGTGAAATGCTAATTAGAACAGAAATTCTTCACTCACACTGCTGTAAAAATGCATAAAGTGTAAACTAAGATAATGTGAGAGTATGCCAAATTTTATTCATATTTTTAAATACAAAGATAATTCGGGAAGATTTATTAAATATGCCACTGAGACTGTTATTTGAGTGGATTCTCCTATTATCCATATTCATTGACTATCCAATTACAGTAGGTCTCTTTATTTCAGAAGGAACAATGTCTTCTGTAAAACTGTATGCAATCAGAATGAGATTTTTTTGCTCAAAATACAACTTAAATGCTTCCGACAGGTGTTTATTCCAGATACAGAATGACTGTTTGCTTTAGAGGCACATCTTGTATGCTAAGCTTCCTTGTATAGTCAGTCTATTTTCTTAAGGAAGTCTGAGCTACAAAAGCTAAGTGTTTTTTATTGTTTTATACTATTAATATTACAAAAATAAAGTACCAACACAATTTCTTTTACAACAGGAAAAAAAGCAGCCGTATTATACTTGGGTCAAAGTCCATATCTACATAAAGAATGTCCATTTAACTAAGCTGAAAAAACAACCCCAAGAACCCTCAGGTCACTGAACATGAAGTTCTCTTCTTTTCTTTTATATTCACTGTGGCATTATCATTAAAGTATAACTCTCCTTTTGAAATGCACTTTAGCTTGTTACTTCATGACTCCTGGTTTTCAGATCATTCATTCTACACAGTCACGTTACCACATGAATTATTATATACAAGACTCCAGCTATTTAACATATACACAAAAGTGGTGAATCTCAGGCTTTAAGAATATAGTGCTTCCCGTGCAGAGTCCTTGCAGGTCAAAAGGAATATTAAAGCACTGTTTGGTGAACGTAAGTGGACCAAACATCTACCAAATACCAATACATATAAGCCTTCACGGTTGCTCCTGATATAAGTTTTAATTGTGAAATACCAGTTTGAAATGCTAAGACACTTGCTGCATAAAAATAGGTTTCTTCTAAAAACGTGCTGGATCCTTCCAAGTCACACCCAGGGTTTCCATCCAGGAAAGAGGCGGCTCAGATTTTTGGGGTCCATGGCCTGCTGTATGAGGAGGTTCACCTGCCCTCCCACACTGAGCACTGTTCCCTCCTCAACACCTTTCAGCTTCTCCTGAAGTCTCATCAGAACACGCTCAGCCACTTTGTTAAAACTCTGGTCGTCACTGCTGGCAGAATAAAAAAAACAGGTGCACTAGATATGGATCCTGAACAACATGAGCAACATCCAGTAAGAAAACCGTAAAGCAAGCCAACAGTGCAGTAAGCAGACAGTAAGAAAAAAAAAAATCTTTCACCTGGCTTTTCTTTTACATTCTTGTGGATCAGTATTGAGTGTAGAGCTCATGTCAGCCTCATCCTCTGGTCTCTGCTGCAAATACAAAGCTTTCAGGGGGTTCATGGTCCAGTCGAAAAGAGGATCATAGAGCAGTACCTACACAGTAAATAAACCTCTGTTAATTTAAACTGTTAATTACAGCTAGCTCAGTGCCCTAGCAGGAAGAGAAACATTCAGTAATGCTCATGCTAACCACACTATTAGGGGGGTTGGTTTTTTTTTAAATCCAATAGAATCAAGCTAAATTGCTCAGTAGATGGCATCTGCTCATCTGCAGGTATTTGCATTGTTCATACTTGACTCAGTTTGGCCACCCAGTCCCACCTCAGCAATGAAGAGGTCATTTTTTAATACACTTCTAGGAGCTAAATATCATCATTAGTTCTTAATGCATAGTAAAAGCTGCTCTTAAAAACTACTTTAATTCTCTTCTTTGTGTCTTATTCAAAGAGGATTTAATTCAATCGGCACGACTTATGCCAGGAATGTTGCACTATGGCTAGAAGTATTCAGATACTGAAGAGGGAAAACTGCATATGCCTGAAATGAATAGTTTTCATAGAAAATGAAAACTGGTCTTGATTTTATGGAAGATTACATGAATTAACAAATCTGGCCAACAGCACTACACTCGAATTGAATAAAAAAACCCCATAGGAGTATTAGGATAGTGATGTATATGAAGACAAACACAAGAAAGTGAAGATATGCTGGCAGGTTACTATCAGAAAGAATGAAAAAATGCTTACCTCTACAATCGTCAGCAAAGCTTCTTGAGAATTTCTCATAACAGCCATTGTTTTCTCACAGCATCTAGAAAATATTTTACTGTATTTTTAGGTTCTTTTTGGTAAAGCAGAATGGTATTTTCATTATTTAAATAACGGATATATGTACCCTTCGTAAAGGTTAATTTTTAACATACGAGTAACATCTCTGATATTTCCATTTTGTGAAAAAAAGATAAGAAATTCAAAAATTTAAGATCAGAAGGAGTGGGTAGTTCATTGATTATATTTCCTGTGGGAAAGAGACTAATAATTTCACTGTCTGAAGTGTTTCTATATGCAGAATTAACCACTGAGTTAACACTGATGGTGGAGGTATGCCATGATGGCAGAATTGCTTGGCTGGATGAAAACGTGTGTGCTCTAGGTGCTCAGTAACACGTCAAGAGAATCTTGGTAGGGTCCCTTGACATGAAATGAGCAGATCCAGTAGCCAGAGACATTGAGCTTTTTCTGAAATCTCTCCAATGGCTTTAGATACAGAAGTGGTTGCCTACATTTGCTCCCAAGTAAACTAAGCTTGTGGAAGGCATATGAAACTTTATTTATGGGACAGGTACCCCAGTGAAAGAGGGATTAGGCCTCCTGTCTACTTCAGAGAACACACACAACAAAGTTAACTGACTATAATCACACCCAATCCTGAGATGGCTTGTTTATGCACTTACACCTACACTGTCCACTAAAAGTCAGTCTGGCTAAGACAGAAACAGTACCTGACCAGTGCCTTTTATACTTTATTTACTTCAGCTGGAGCCAAACAATGCACGTTTTTCTGTATCATGGGACAACAGTTTCAGAAGTAACATGAAACTGTGAATTTGACAGTGTCAATTAGAACAGAACAGAAGTGACAGTGACTGTTCTTTCACAGCATAAAGGTATTTTAGGGACTACTCATTATCATTAACTGCTACCTTACAAAGACAAGACTTACACTATGTACTTTTTTAAAGACATGAAATTTGGGGGCTGGAAGCACAACATTCATGAACACCATGAAAGTCCTGAATGAGAGAAATATCCTGCTGTTTAGGGCTCTCTTGGGTCATTCACAGGAGATAGGATGGAAGTTGACAGAAACTCAGCCCTTTTGGGATTTTTGTTTTGAGGTCAAATCTATTGTGGCATTTGTATTTTGCACTTGCCAAGTAATACCAAATATATGAGGACAAAGACAGCAAATTACTTCCATGAAACTGAACAGAAATAAGAGACAGAACAGAATGGTTCGAAGAAACTTAAAAGTACTGAACATATAGTACAGCTGAAAGAAATACATAGTTCTGAAGGAAAAAATTCAACAGTCTAAATCAAGGCAAGAAATTTAGCTGCGGAGCCTTTGAAAGCACTCAGTCATCCTGGAATTCCACAAGAGGATGAAAATAATCCATTAGTTAGTGAAGAATATGAAAAGCTGGGCAACAATAACGAGCTTGTAATTGGTTAATATAAATAACAGTGTATGAGTTACAGGACAGCATTTATGTTTGGATATTATTAGCAGAAATCTGAGTCCCCTCTCAAGCATCAGAACTATTTAGCATATAATAATCATAATACCAAAGTGCTCTGCTGTTTCCTTATCCCTATGCATCATAGGTGCTCTTACCTTCTGAAGACTCCTTCCACGCCAGTAATACCCATTCCGTCCACAATGTCCCTGGTTAATCTAAATGGAACAGTCTCTGGTGTAGGAAGGATTTTACCTTGCTCAAAAGCAACCCCTAAATAAAAGGACAGTATGTTTTAAAAAACATTGAAGTAAAGAAAAATGAAGGTTCTCTTGTCTGTCCCACTTACCCAGATCTATATGCACTAGTTCTGCAGTTTGTTCATCTATCAGGATATTCTGAACATGTCTGTCTCCAAGTCCAAGTATGTAGCCAACTAAAAGGAAAAGGTAAGTGCTGAAACTGTATTTACATGCCATAAAAACCAGGGAAAATTTAACACAGAGAAGATGATTAATATCAATGTAACACATGCAAACAATTAGAAGTGAGAATATTTCTTCCCTCATGTACACGTATTACTCCTGTAAAGAGCAAATGCTATTCCAGAAATCCAAAAATAAAAGGGTAACTGAAAGCAACTGCAAAAAGGTCATTCTCATATAGACGTGTATTGTTTTATCTGCTCCACAGACTTCTTGCTAAACAATTTCACAGCTTTCAAAAAAAAAAAAAAACATAAAAATCAAGTGCACAATAAAATTAGAGTTTGTTATTACTACTGTTAAGAAAACCTTTTAACTCACAGTATCATGTAACCCAGAAAACTGGTCTGGACATAATTCAGTCCATAATTCAGCTGGGCAACTCAACTCTACCTAAATAGTTCCCGAGGAATTCTTGTCTAAGTTGGTGTAAAAAAATCTCCAATGATACAAATAATAAGATCTTTCATGTAAGCCTATTTCAGTGCCTCACTCTCTTTACACCTAGAAAACCTCCAAATTACATCTCCCTTGCTGCAAGTTAAGCTTGTTACTGTTTCTCTGTTAGCTGATGGACATGGGTAACAGTAGTATTTCCTGTAACATTCTTTCACTGAATTCTGCTGAGCTGTAGCTTTACTTTACTATTTTCAGCAAAAAGGAGTGTATAAACAACATGCCGACATCTAAAATAGGATCTACTGCAATGTATACAATCTACTATCAAATATCTTCCAGAGACTCAATACAGAACCGAGTCATCCAAAAGAAATCTACAATCCAAGTATATGTATTTCCTTATTAAGACAGAAAAAGAAATGGAAAAATGCCAAAGCTTAAATAACCATTTCAGCCATGGCTAGTGATGCTGGTACAAAGAAAGCAAAAGATTAAGCTTTTCAACTCGGTTAAAACATTTGAGGCTATAAATGAAATAAATAAATGTTAAATCAAAACAATAGAATAGTGCAAACCACTATATAAAACAAAGAAACAAATAATTTAATTCTGTCTTTCTATTGCAGAAAGGGGCGGGGGGGAATGAATAAGAAACCTTAATTACAAAAATAATGCTTGTGTTCTTGCCAGCATTTTTTGCCCACTACTCCCCCTTTTCTGACACGTGAGAAAAGCACAATATCCATCACCTCTGAAATGGTATAAATTCTTTGTTTACATAATCTAAAAAGCCAATGTTAATAATTTAATATGATACCTATAGAAGATGTAGCCACACTGCGAGTGTATGCCAGTCGTTTTTCAAACCACACAGCTGGATCCAGGAATTTTTCCATGCAGAAATAACGAAACACAGGCTGAAAATTCTCACAGACTGTCATGAAGATGTTGTATTTCTCTTCAGAATGTTTCTTTTGTGCATCCTTAAAAAAATATGAAATGTTTTCCCCATGACTGACTGCTTTGGAAGGAAATTACCTCTACCTTTCAAAGAAATACATTCCT